ATACTGTTTTTAATTGTGTACCAGGCTGTATAGGTGTTTGTACACTTTGTTTGTTTGTAAGTTTGTAACATTCTATTATACTATTAATATAATGTGTCTGACACATCCTGATGAATCTATGCTCTCTGTCACATTGAATCTCTATACTAAGTAGCCAGTGTAATTTACCACCATCTGTATATTGTAAATGACATACAATAGATTGTTTTATCATTGTAATAGTATTATTATTCATTACTGTGATAGTAATATTGTTGACATGTACAAATAATATGGTTACAGTTATTTCTTTCTTCTTTACAAAGAATACAGCATTATCATGTTCAGATTTTGTTAATCTGTATTTAAGTAGTATATTAGATAGTGTTTTATACCATCTTCTACCAGCTTGTTTTAATCTGTATAGTGCTTTTTGTAATCATAATATTTGTCCATTCTGTAATCCATCTATTAAGTTACCTGGAGGAGGTTTAACATATATTTCTTTGTCTTCTGTCAATTGTCCATACAGATATGCTGATTTTATATCTATCTAATGTATTTCATAATTATTAGATGCCACCCATACTAATATTAATCACACTATAGATAGTCTAGCAGTAGGAGCAAATAAATCATCTGTACAATAGTTAAGGCTGTCAATCTGATAGTTTCCTTGAACTACTAATTGTGCTTTATATTTTTCTATACTATTGTCAGTGTATTGCTTTATTTTATAGACAAATTGTGTTCTAATGATGTTAATATTATTGTGTGGATTTGTGATTTCCCATGTATTATGATTTTCTAATTGTTTTATTTTGTCTTTCATAGCTGTAATCTATGAATCACAATCTAGACATTGGATTGCTTTATAAAATGAAGTCAGATCCAATTGTATTTCACTTATTTTAGCATTAAATTCTATTAAATGAATAGTAATATTATCTTCATCCTTTTCACTAAGTACATACATGTGTTTTGTTACACGTTTATTCTCCATACATTGTTCAAGCTTAATAGTACATTCTGTCAGTTTCTGTTTCTGTTCCAATCAATGTAGTTTAGGTTCTACTTCTTTTTCAGTTAATTTAACTTTGTTGTCTATTAAGTCTGTTGGTTCTACCACTTTTCCTTTTTTATTAGGATCAGTGTTGTCTGTATTATTGTTGTCTGTTCTCATTATTCTATCATCCATTTTGTTATTTTTAATTATTAAACACTTGTTTGTATTATTGTTTGTATTGTCTATTTTCTCCCTTTCAATTTGAGGAGGTTTACCTTTGAGAAATTGAATATTTTGTTCAATGGTGATTTTATTATTGTGCCAAGTTTTATAGCCTTTACTTTCATTGTCTAATCCTATCCAACAAGCAATAATACCTTACTGTTGTATTTTTGTAGGATTTTTGTTGCAAATGATAATATATTGACCAAATTTGTATATATTATCAATTGTTCTGTGGGTTCCATAACGTTTGTAATGTAGGGTATTGTAATTTAAAGTAGCACACAGTGTTCTATTATGAATATAGGTAATATGAATTGCTGCTTCAGCCTATAATGTAAACAGTAATTTAGTAGATGTTAGATATGCTCTTACACCTCTAAATATAGTTTTATGAGTTTGTTCTGCTATTCTGTTCTGTTACAGAGTATAATGTACTGTTAATCTTTGTTTTGTTCCTTGTGAATCTAAATATTGTTGGAAATCT